CTCTATAAGGACGACGGTACCTCTCAATGTATTCTCTCTGGTTTCACGAATGCTTGTGGATACTCTTCCCGCTTACTTAGAGAAATCGCATCTGCTCTAAGCAGGGACGTCAATTTCTCTATTCTCACGAAATGATCATAAGCAACGTCTTCGGTTATGCTTGTGTCGCCTGTTTCGTAACCAGCGGTGTACCTGAGCAGGCACGGCCGCCAGCTCGAACCATACTTTACAACATTCACCATCACTATTTAGGAGATGGTCTTGTGCTTAACATTTTGTTACATTTACCAATCAATTCTATTACCAGTTACTGCTTGTCGAAGTGAGTGGCCTTGATCACGCCGTGGAAGTGTTAATGTTTTCTATGTTTAACCCAATATTCTTAGGTTACATCGAAAAGAAACCTCAGATGCCACTTCAACTATTTATGATAATATTCAAGAAACTTTTATGGTTTTCAGTATGAATGATCAATTACTCTACCGGCTGCCTGTCTCAACAGCAGCTTCATTGATGAAACAATATAGAACTCAGCCGACCTACCGAGAGCCGGTATTTTCAACAGCTACATTACTGATCAGTCTGCCACACACGTTCGCAATCGCTAGACTTCTAAATCTAGGTCGTTCTGCAGAGTTTCTAAAGAAACATATTTCGTGCTTGCTAGCCTTTCAGAGATTGACTAGTTATAAAGTGTGCAACGTAGTGTTCCTAGACACAATTTTTGCGCAGTTCTTAATGGCACTTTCGTGACATTAGAACTAATACTTTCACAGTAAAAATACAGATCAAAAATTGAAGCACCGCAAAATCTCTGTGTTACAGGGAACGTTATGAAAGCAATGAATTCGCGATAAACTTTCTGTAAGATAAGAACGCATGCAACCTCTCAATACTTAACTGCGTGCTCGTTTAAAAAAATCAATAAAAAACAACTTCCTCCATGCTTCACTCATATACACGAAGAGTTAATTTATAACGAACAGAAATATTAGAGCGTGGTATTAAAATTAGGAAGACGTAAGAAGTAGCTAGAGCCTTTTTACGCCAATACTGCCTGAATATCACACCAAAAACCACTCAAATTAATAGCGTTGAAATTCGCTTCGCATAGCTAATGCTTTTTACGGTGATTTCACCCCTCCTTCGACTGCACGCCATGTTGTAACATGTTTTTGCACCGCCTACCACAGTGAACGGGCTTTTCGTTTTTCTGTTACTCCTAAATAAGAAAAATTCGATAATTAAAAACGCTTAAGATTACAAGGGCGGGCTTCGTCCCCATTAATATTCACCATATTAAATACCTGCGCAGAATATTCTTATTTTTATGTCTGTCATTATCAACCTCGGTTTTTTGTAGTGGTGCTATTCCACGTGTTATGCGTGTGCCAGAGTAATTTTTGTTCTCAAAAGGGCGATCAAACTCTCCTATACAGATTATAGGGCCGCTTGTCTTAATAAAATTTTGCATGATGTAATCTTAGAAACTGATTGAAGATGTATTATTCTTCGCTCTTTTCAATTTTATTTTCGTTATAGCTATTCGACGAATATCGCACGTACAGCTGTAATTGATTACCTAAAAAAAAACGACTGACAAAGGTAAGGCGACTGTCTGAATATTCATAGACATTTCTAAGGCATTTCAGGCATTCGACTACACAATAGTTCCCAATAAACTTGACGCCATCGCAATAACCCCTTCATTACCACTACTAAACATGAGGTACAATACAAAAAACAAGATGTGAACAACTCTAGATCATGTTAAAAAAAGGAGCAATTAATATTGGCGTGTGCCAAAAGTAGATCCGACGTCTCTTACTTTCTTTGTCTAGCTTACATTAGTCTCCCTACCACTTGTCTCTGCCTACATAATGACATTCTTTACGCTCACGAGATAACCACATTCAGTTCCAACAGTTGTGCGACAACGCGCACAAGGAAGCAATATGATGAAGCTTCGTAAATCGCAAGTGTTGTGAGCATAAAAGGTTAAACACGAGGCGCACGAAGATTTAGATTTGTCATGTTTGCTTGGCGTCAGAGATCGCCTGAGACGTTCCCATCATTTGCAATAACAATATGCTTTTGATATTGTACCTAGCAGGGTGAAATTCCATAGCATTCCTAAATATCACTTAGACTTTGTTAACGTTAACACAGAATGGTTCGTGACATATGTATTCTCGCTACAGCTCATTCACATTTTCCCGTTTGATCTCGTTTGTCGTTTTCAAATGCTTTTAATAGTTCTCACAGCCCTTATAGCATTTAATAGCCCGCAAGGTCGTTTGCGAAAGCAGTCGTTTGGTGAGTGACGTCACCACAAACCCGAGCCAATGGGGGCATCTGGATCCCTTCCCTCGCCTAGCTGTGTGGAGCTTTGGCGTGTCCGGGGAAAATGAGATCCCGGGAGTTGAGCCAATACCGAGGGGTTGGACCTTTGATTTTTTGTTGCATGGCCAAAAATAACGTATCTAAACAGCGCTTGCTTTTGTTTTCTGTTATTTTGCATTCAGAAAAAGTAGAGAAGAAATTTTGTTCCATGTCAAACCTTTGTTTCATAAGATGCAGAATATTCATCTACAGTGGACAACATGCACAAAAGGTTCAGTTAGTGAAAGTTGCGAAATTCTGTTCACGTACGTAGAGGAACGGGAAGTGCGTCACGAAAAAGACGACGTCCATTGAGTCTAGTCCCCGTGTTCTTCAAGGTGTGTCAGACACTGGGGAGTTTTAGTGCTGGGTACGCACTCTCTTGGGGCGTTGCGGACATGGGAGCGCACGGCGTTGCGTGCCCAAGCCATACCAAACCGGAATGCCTTTTTAGTTGGCGCCACGGTGGCACACACGCAAACGCAAACGGCACGAAGGTCACACGCGCTTGCAGCGCCATAGCGTCTTGTCGCGTAAGTATTAGTTAAGTATTTTTATGATTGAAAATGTGAAATTAAACATAAATAATGATAAAGACACTTTTTATTGTGTACAGTATCCTGGTATACGCAATAAAGTGAAAAATACAAGGTTACTGTAACGATACTGTCGTCATCTTGTGACACTTCGTGCAACCACAGTCATGAACATGTTAGCTTACGCGTAATGTTTTTGAGGTGAAAATGAATAAAAAGGTTACTCATTTGTAATATTGTCGCTGCACAGTTTTTGCACCAGATGTACAATTCACAATGTTTCTGCAATAACAATGTTGTGGTTGTCTGTTTTCCTATGGCCGCGCAAAATGGCGCCACCTATTCAGCTGGTCGGGGGCTGGCATATGCCTTTTAGTTTCTACGTTCCAGGCCATTCTACCTTTGGAAACTTGGATGAACCCGTGCAATCGCTGTAAGTGCTCGCACTTTGGCTTATTTTAACTCGACGGCTAGAGTATCCGCAGTGCGGATACCGTGAGTTCTTGCAAAGGGGGATCTTACAAGGCGGCCGATCCATGCTGTCCGAGATTTCGCGCCTTTGTGCCATGCTACTTGTATAGTGGCTAGCCACTATAATACTTGCGCTTAAAACTTAAAAGTCAAAGCGGTGGCTCTGGCCAGCCTCGGCTTTGCTCGCCGTAAATGTAACATGATGCGCCAGCATGTGCGCCGGGGCAGCTTATCTCCGCTAGGAGGCCAGTGGTGGCAGCGTTGTTTATGGCCGCGCAGACGCATGGCCCCATCGCCCCAGCGATCTTGCGACGCATCTGTTTGGGGTTTCGCGCATGCGTAATACCACCGCCCCATAGTCCTGGGTACGCAAGCCACTTGGGTAGCCAGCACTAAAACTCCCTACTGTTCGGATAGCTTTGCGTCCGCTGAGCATACAAACCCTGTTCGCGACAACCAAAGACCACACAGACCTGCAAACGATCGGTGCGAGATCATCTACAAGTACGATGCCGGGATTGCAAAGCAAAATAATTAAATCGGCGAAACGGCCAGGAAAGGCTCAGCAAGGAAAGGTTGCTAATGCCAAACATGCAATGCGTTCTTACACGGAGCTTCTTAAACACTGCTGGACAAGGTATATTTTTTGCCTAAACAATAGGACTAGGCTGGCCAGGGGTGTAACCCAATTTTTTCGTATAGAGGGGGATTCGATTATACTTTTTATGTGTGATGGTGCGTACGCTTATAAGTGTGGACGTATATGCAAGCAATAATGAAAAAATTGGGGGGTCGAACCCCCATTTATAACCCCTTGGCTATGCCCCGGACGCCGGCTAAGGAATGATAGTGAGGTAGCAGGACTCCTGGAAACATGGTTCATTGGCCACAATGCATTGCCTCGCACCACGTGTGACTACAGGACTATTCGACGTCAGCTCATTTTCTCCTCTGTTTTAGGGGCGACGCTCCTTACAGTGGCACTCGTTCATCCCTCGTAGTCGTAGTCGTAGTCGTAGTGTGTAACCAGTCTTAGACTATGACCTCAAAGGTGGTGCCGGTGGGAGAAAGTAAAAGCCGAATTCAAAAAGTAAAAAAAGTAAAAACCGAAGTAAAAAAAATAATATTTGAAGTGATATAGTACATTGAACATGTTCAGGCAACGGGTAACCAACAAGACAATTTAAGAGCGAACAAATTCTAAAGCTATACAAGTCGTTCACAAATATTTTAACAAAGCCTTTTCAAAACTTTGTAGATAGAAATATTCTACTATATTTTGAGGTAACCGATTCCAATTATCAATGCTCCGAACTAAAAAAAGAATACTTGAATAAATCTGTTCTGTAGTTAATTGGCGTAATATGTTTTGAATGCCTTGTCTTGGATGTTTTGTCCTGTTTTGTCCTACGCCTATTGGAGGATACAGGTAATGTATACGCTTTCATGCTTTTACTGTTTCTGGGCTGTAAGGTAAAAGTAGAGGTGACGTAGTTACACAATAGAAGTAAATATAGGTTGCTCATCAAGAAGCCGTCATTCTTTTGATGAGTTGGAAACGTATATTCACGCACAGTATGTTCTTTCAGATCGTACCAATATTGCGTAAAGGAGCTGCGAGAGAGGTTTTTCAGTGCACATTGGCTTCTTTTGAAGTGCTGTCATCATTTTCAGACAAGATGAAGCTCCTTCGATCTCATATTTTCGCAATCTATATGATTGTGGCTTCTATAATCAGTGAGTATTGTACATTACGTTCCACACCACAATACACGTTTGATCTTTGTATTCGCATATATATATAGTAACGGTGGTGATTTTATGCTGAATCGAATTAGATAACGTGACTTCGACATGGTAAGCCAAAGGAGGCTAACCAGTGCGCTGCAAATAAAACACGAATGCACGGTGTTAGATTCTGCGCTTCTCTGGCGTTTACAGTATACTTGTAGGGGATCAAATGACGGTGAAGATTGAGAACGTTAAGTAATGAAATAATTGTAGTTCATTGGGTGAATATTTTGATGGTTACTTCGTTGCATGGGCATGATACACGCATGACACACTTGATGGTGTGCGAGACTTCCAAGTGTCCAGCAGTTCATAGAATGTGTTTTTGCTAAACTTGCGGCATGTTATAAGCGCACATCTTCGCATCTACCTTGTCTCTCTCCCCTGCCTCGAGTTGCACAACTTGACGTAGTACAATGATAAATGTGAAAAGTCGTGCAATAGTAAGCTGAAAAGGGTGGCCCATCGCAATCGAGACATTATATTCCCCCCCGAGAGAAGCAATTTTAAAGCGGCACTTTGCTGGAGCTCCGAGTTTAGATCATCATGCTGCGATAGTTCGCATGCACCAGCGTGGGTGAGCTCATTGGCATTCGGGAGAAAAATTTGGCCATCTTTGTCTATGTGGTCAGGAAACCAGGTGATGTTACTGTTGATTTTCTTGGAGTCGTTAGGGACGAACTTACAACGCAAAATGACAGATGCCTGAGGGTTTTCCCGAGTTCTAAGGGGGAATATTTCGGAGCGCGAGTCCCAAGCCAAATAGTGGTAACGCGATTCATGAGAAACGAGTGGACGAAGCCGGAAAAGCAGGTTCCCATTCAAAACTGAAAGATTGAATCTACTATTTGGGCATGCGAGATGTTATCGAATAATTTCTCCCGATCAAGTGCCAGGGCACTTGGCAAGTAAGTCTGTATTGTCTATGTCGAGAATTTCGCGTTTAGTAAGTTTGATAACGTACAGCGTAGAGCCAGAGATTGAAAGGAAATGGCTCGTTTTGTCAATGTGATTGGTTGATTCCGTTAAGGATTGCATGATTTACGACCTCATATACCTAAGATGTCAGCTTTATCAGTCGGTGCCGAACCTGGGGGGTTTCACAGGCTTGGGTATGAAGGCGACAGAGACCGTTCGCCCCTCCTCCTGCCCTGGGTCTGACTTCCAAACCCGGTTGACTTCATCCATTAATAAGTCGATAAATCCATCATCCGGAGTTTTCAGCGTCCTGTTAGTGATACTGTCTGGCCTGCGAGCCGACTTCAAATTGAAATTAAAACTGACCGCCCTCATCTATCCGTGCCGAAAGAAGAATGGAGTTTCGCTCCTCCAAGGCCAAAAATCCCGGTTTGTGTGCATTTGTGGCAGCCCCCGGGGGTCAGATACTTATGAGCCAGCTGTTGTGAAATCTGATCAATGAAGAGCCCGTTAGACTTCTTCTTGTGATTGAGCCAATCGTATAACCACTGCAGTTGTTGGAAAGTGTTGCTTGGAATGCATTTATGGAATGTACTGATCATGAAGGCGATTTTTATTGCATGCCAATACTTTGAGCTACAAAACACCTGGTGCATTTTTGACAAGGAATCGATTAGTATTTTCTTAGTGAATAGGCCAACATTTTTCTTTTCTAACAGTACATACACTTTTTCCTACTCGGGATTTGAGAGCTCCGAGCAAGTATAATTTATAGCCTACCGGTCTTCAGGTTCTCAAGCAGGACAGCAATTTTACAATTCAACATTCTTAGAGACAAAGAGCGTAATTTCTTCGGACTTACTTTTAAATATTATTGTGAAAGTCATATAATTAGGATCAACAGTTGTGTAATTACTAGAATCGCTACCATATTATACGTTATATTCATAGTCATGTTTTGGAGGGCATTCGTTCTATTATAGTTATTTTATAAGAAAGGCATACTGAGATGCATTGAATATAAGGGGCGTGTTTAGTATTATTGTGTTTTGTTTTACAACCCACAATTCAAACCTGTTTCTTTTGCATGCGCTCTGCTCCACCTGGTGTGACCTAAAGCCATGTCAAAGGGCACGCCCAGCATGGTAAGGATTGTAAATATTTCAGAGAAAATTTATTAATTAGCGAATTCACCAGCCGTAAAAGTGAGTGCTACGATGACCATTTCTCCTGATGAAAATTTTATCATACTGGCTTATCTGCTTTCCATATCCAGTCGAAAGCCAGCGAAATTGTCTCCTTAGAAATTTAGGCAGAGTGCGACAGCGCTGACGCTCTTATTTTCGCGTTCATACTCCGTTGAGTGACGCAGGAGCCGCCTCTGCTATGCGTTATTGGTGAAGCATGACTACAGAAAAACAATTAGCAGACCATTGGAACGGTGGGCACAGTGCAAGAGGCCCTCTACACGGACAACGCGACACTAACAAGGTTGCAAAAGAGTGCGCGGCCCAAAACACAGTGGATACAGCTGCCTGACTTATGTAGACCGATTACAATTGACTACTATCTCTGGTTGATCAGGAGGTTTCCGATGTACAACGTTCACCATGATGTGTAATGGCTGTTAATAGCTTAATGGTGGCTAATACCAAGGCGATTCGCACTAGAGTATTCTGACGGATGGGACCTGGTAAAACATTACATTCGAATCTGGCGATAGCAGTTGTAAGGCACTACCAGCAGGCTTTAGCGTCTCGTGAGTTCTATGATGCAGAGAAATACTGCGAAGGCACCCATGGAATATGTCTCAAGCGCACAGTAAAGGCATCTACCACCCATATATTCCCACACGCAATGCCCATAAATAGTAGCAGGCGTTGGGAAGACGATGCAGCTGAGTTACTGAGCTATTTGCTTGATCGGCCACGAGCATTTTATTCTTGCTAATTCACTTGTCTGCATCAACGAGCGCTGCAATGGAGGGCTCTGGTGCCTTATGCTTCACAGAGAAGGAAAAAGATTCATTTTGTGGTTTTCTCTGTATAAACTGACAAATGCCAGACACTATACTCACAGGTAAAAAATTCGCTGTCCCAAGTGAGATCACTTGCTGCACTTCACAAATACATAGCAACACGATGCCGTTTTCATTTAAAGTTTCTCACTTCCTAATATATCTCGGAGTTCCAAGCCGACTTGAGGAATGCTCGCGTTTTCTGCGGGCTGAGCGCAAGCAGTTTTACTCTTTCCAATAAAATTAAGGGATAAATATTACAAATTATGTAGAAATTTTGTGATTTCAAAAAGTTGGTAAGGCATGAATTGTCACACGCTGCTACATGCTTATACAATCATCTTCATCAACATCATCAGTCTGACCACGCCCTACGGCAGGGCAAAGTCCTCAACCGTGTTCCGCCAATGAACCAGGTCATCTGCTTTCTGCTGCCACGTTATGTACCCGCAGATTACTCAGTTTCTCCTGCCCACCTTCTTTTCTGTCTCCATTTCACGCGTTTGCATTCTCTTGGAATGCGGTCAGTTACTCTTTATGACCATCGCTTAACATCGCTTAATACGCTATTTGCCCTGTCCATGTCCTTTTATTCCTCTTTATTTCAATTATGATTGCCTCCACACCCGCTTGTTTCCCGACCCACTCTGCTCTGTTATACAAACTGTGCTGAAAACAAGGATAAAGGCCCATATTCGCAAACCAACCTTGGCCTTACCTCATGTTTTCCTCAAGTTCCTGTACTCTCTACGCGCGTTATAAGGGCACAGAACTGATAACAGCGTACAAGATGACAACAACATTGATTCATGCATACAGGCCTACTTTGTTCAACAAGCGCAAGAAAGGCGTAAAATCGATAAGGAGAACTCGAGCTAAGGTTGGGGTTGGTTTGTGAATAAGGGCCAAAGAGCTCTTTGTTTTTACTATAATTAGTTGTTAGCGCCTCACTAGCTTTATAAAAATTGGCGATCACTAAGAAATGCACCCTGTAGACCGACTTTTTTATGATTATTTTTCACCCTTACCCACATCCAGCGCTTAAAGGTATGAAATCTCTTCGCAGCCCGCCATCAAGAAGGAATCTCTTTACCTTGCGGGATACTCAGCGAAGCTGTTCGAACGGAATGTGGGGTGCGTCAAAACACGACACTTGAGCGAAAAAGACGGCTGGGTGAAAAGGAGTCTGATATACGTGTTTACCTTTGTGAGTATACTCTTAATAATTAGTCAGACATTCTTTCTCCCATCCATGAACCACAGTTTCGCAGGCGCGATGAAAGACACCCTAATTGAAATCTGCACCCGTATTACGTAAAATTACGTAATTTCTTGTGGAAATTATTTTCACGGCATTTACAAGTCGCCAAAGTTATTTTAATTGCATTTCTGAGCGTACGCGTGGATGCGCGGTACAACACCTGCTTGCCACGCTAATGGCGTTTGTTCGATCCCCACTCGTGCCCAGAAGTTTTTATTATTTTATTTGCATCTTTTTTATTTTTCAGTCACGGAGAAGATCAATTTTTTTCCTCACAGCCAACGACGCCTAAACCAACCCATCGCCGGAATTTCTGCTAAACATGCTCTTACAGCTATCGCCTTCATATCGTGAAAGGGAGCTTTCATTTACGGCATCAGTAAGCCATGTTAATAATGGAACATGCAGACCTGGTGCTTGTGTGTAAGGGGCTGTACTCAATGTGGCCCTCTGTAGGCTCTTACGTTAGCTGGAAAACATCCAGGCAACAAAGAATTCTGAAGACTACATACTGTCACGAGACTTCAGAAGTACAGGGGTCTTTTATATGACCAAGATGTGGCCAGCTCTCGAAAAGCGCGTTCATCGCGGCTGCCTCTCGAGCGTAGAGTAGAGTCTTGGACAGTGGCACGCATTCACGCTGGGGGATTTGCTAAGAACCGTGTGGTTTGCCCTCTCGAGTGAAGAAGAAGCACGGATCTTCTTTCATTTTCTAAGGCGAGAGCCGCTCTTGTAGTCAACCCATTGCATGCAGGGGAAAATATTTTCAAGGACTAAAAAGCAAAGTTTCAACATACCATAATACCCTCCATGGAGGGATGAGAAGCACCGTGGGAGAAAGTATTGATTGATATGTGGGGTTTAGGTCCCAAAACCACCATATGATTATGAGAGACGCCGTAGTGGAGGGCTCCGGAAATTTCGACCACCTGGGGTTTTTTAAAGTTGCACTCAAATCTGAGCACACGGGCCTACAACATTTCCGCCTCCATCGGAAATGCAGCCGCCACAGCCGGGATTCGATCCCGCGACCTGCGGGTCAGCAGCCGAATAACTTAGCCACCAGACCACCTCGGAGGAGTGCACGGGAGAAAGTAGAGATCCTGTTTTGATGGCCGACGGAGGTGAAACAAAAAGATGAAAAGGTGCACAATAGCTGTAAACTGTGTAGATTACGCAGTAAACGTTAATTTCCTCTATTGGAGCTTCATAACTTGCAATATGTTTGCCGTTTCTATACGTGCGGCAAGAAATGATGTTTACGCTCAATTTTTATAGGTTATTATCATTGCTGCTGGCATAACGGCAGAAACATGGGTCACATGCATTTATTTACACGCCCAGAATTTTTTTCATGTTACATTACAAGACGCCGGAAAAAGATGGACGCAGGTTTCCGTAACTTTCGAAAAGGCTGGCGAAAGCCAGCATCAAACGCTGAAGACAAAATCGATAGCTTAGCCAACAAAAAGTGCTGGCCAAATTTATCGGTGTTACCAAAAAATTACAGAATACTCGAGATACGCACGACGGGCAACGTTGCCCAAAGAGGACTTTCCCAATATTCGATATCAACCAATGCCCTCGTTGCGGACATTTGGCCATCATGACCTTTAAGTAATAGGTCTGCGCACATTTATCTATGGTAACATTGCCAAAGCCAGAGTAGGACCAATATTTCAACAGATCCACCCGCCCCCCAAAGTCTCGATTCGAAATCAATTCAAACTTTATTTCGTCCACAAGCTTGTGTGTTGTGAAGCACGAATGCTCGAGAAAAAGTGGAACTATCGACTTGAGGAGCCTCGAGCCCTTGTTTTACTGGGCATACAGCGACAGCGTGCAATACATGTACAGTTTGTATGGAAAATAACACTTATACTAATGCCACAGAGCAATACAATAAAAATAGTCACAAGATATACAATGCAGTACGATATTTATACAATAATAAATCCTCCCGAGATCATGACAACAAAACGAGCTTTCTTTTACACAATTTTTAGGTGAACAAAAAAAGGAAGAACAGTAAAATTTAGAAGCGTATCGAACCAAAGCTGTACCCTTTATTAGAAGGAAATGAATTACTTCTTGGTGACAAAAAAATGCTTTATTGCATGGGTTCCAGTTATTTTTAAGTCAACACCACATTTATGAAGTTCATTTAACAGTTTTGGAAGTGTATGAGGAAGCATTTGTTTTGTTGGATAAGCTATCAATACTGGCTTGCTGCTTGTGACAATTCAATAGCGAGAATTCGTCAATACTGGTGTTTCTCAATTAGGTAGTGGAATGACGCTTTGGGTTAAAATACCTGCCGGGTTTATTTTCTCCTTCGAGACGTGCTCTGATACCTTACAATGACAACTCTATAACTATGGCGTTACTGCATTCTTTCAAGCGTTTTGATAGGATTGCACACCCAATTTTTATGCGTGTATCATCACTTTTATTGTAATTTTCGGTTATTTTTATGTGATATATCTCTACTAATGACTTCACTACACGAGCTTCAATGGTTTTTCAACAACGCAAAATTAAGTTTCCTTGGGCGTTATGTCAGTAAAGCATTACGTCACTAACTTCCCATCGGACCTAGCGCAACAGGCGTTATACGCTACCTGACGAATCAGAAGAATATAAAAAAACTGCAGTGAAGTCGCTGAACTGTGAATGCACTATTAATGTTTTTGTTTTACAGGACGAAAGACCTTGGGAAACCCGGTATGTATATTAATTTTTTTCAGTCCGACACATTAAGCGCCCAAGTTTACACCATACCAAACAAGAACTTTAAACGCTTCTATCAGAACGTGATAGAAGCACATCAGCATGACCTAGCCTTGTAGCATTGGCGCGGATGCATTTACCAAAACAGCTGAAAAAAATCTTTATTGTTACACCTGAAGATAAACAACAGGCAGGCGTCCACGTTAGAAAATTACATTAAACATAGGTACGAAAAAATCGGCAGATACTAAATACCTTGGGAATCGACGTTATGAGGAGCGTGCGGAGGGAAGGTGACAGTGTTATATTTTTTTATTGAGCGGCACGTCAATAACTGACGGTAAATATATGCATAAACGCTGCACGTACAGACATATGTATGAGAGTTGCAGATGTTTATATAACCAGCTGTTTGAATTTGCACAACGGTGGCAACTGGACCATCAGTATTTGCAACACCAAAAGTGATAAGCTGATGGGAGCGCTGGTACTCGCGATGATTGTAGCCCTGAACACTGCTACATAGATCAACTTCAGCGGATGGCACCTGTCTATCTACAATTGACGTTAAAACAATTGATTGATTGATTGATTGATTGATTGATTGATTGATTGATTGATTGATTGATTGATATGTGGGGTTTAACGTCCCAAAACCACCATATGATTATGAGAGACGCCGTAGTGGAGGGCTCCGGAAATTTTGACCACCTGGGGTTCTTTAACGTGCACCCAAATCTGAGCACACGGGCCTACAACATTTCCGCCTCCATCGGAAATGCAGCCGCTACAGCCGGGATTCGAACCCGCGACCTGCGGGTCAGCAGCCGAGTACCTTAGCCACTAGACCACCACGGCGGTGCGACGTTAAAACGACGTAACGACTGCATCGCGGGAGAACATATGCAATCTTTATAAAATTGGATAGCCTACACTGCAACTACAATTCGCGTTTCACTAGTAGTAGGGTCTACTTGAAAAGTAGTTCCAGGAGCTGGCATGGCACTGCGGTAGAATGTTTGATTGTCACGCAGAATGCTTGGATTTGATTCCTCCTGGGACCTTGACATTTATTCTTCGCATTCGTTGGGTCAATGCTACTGATTTCAGGTTTTTATTGACGCTCACGTGTTGAAATTTCCCATGTGTGTTGTCGTCAATCCAGGGTAGATACTAAGAGTCAATCCCTACGGCACATACCCGCATACTAGTGGCAAATAACCGCCCGCGGTTATGTGCCACTGCTTGGCAGTAAGGCCGCGTTCACACTGAGCATTCCGGCCGCCGAAAGTGCTCCGAATCTGGTTCGGCGGCGGCGAGTTCTGCCGAAAGGGCTCTCTCCGCGCCGATCGCTCTCGGACCGATTTTTGCGGCGTCTGCCACTGAATCGGTCACCGCGGACCAATAGGAGCGCTAGTCAAGGAATTTTGAAAAAATGGCGGCCAAGCCCTACTCACTTATTATGCCGCAGTGCACGTAACTGAATGTTGAAACCAACGGGAGTTTAACCTACTCTGTGCCTACTTCGCCACCGTATTTCGTGAAAGAGGTGACCGAGCTTGCTGTTGGCGTGACCGAGCTTGTTGCGGTCTTGCAGAGCAAAACAAACCCACCAACGCCGCTGGCGTCGGTTGTTTCTCTGCTCTTCGTGCATTACAAGACATCCACTTGCCAGCAAAGTAAGCAGTACTGTCTTTTCTTGCATACGAGAATCGTCGAAGTATACACCACTGGATATCGTAGCAGCGTTTGCGAGCCGCGACAACAACCGGGTGACAGCGCATCCATCCCGCGTTCGCTCCGTAGTAGATGGCATATTCGGCCGCGCGGGGCGCGTCCAGTGCGAACGACGCTGCGTTTTGGCGGAAGGGGAATACCGGTCGCTGTAGAAAGCGAAGGTTTCATTGTGAACTAGGCATAAGAGTTTTATGACGAATGCGACTGGATTGTGGCATTATTCAGGCATATCCTGACCAGCGCCTCATATTCATCAAACCTTTTTTTACGCCCCCCTCCTATACTAATTCTGGTTCATGCCAAGTTAACAAAATAATCATAAGAGATGCCAGACGCAAGCGTCTAGATAGATAGATCGATAGATACATACGTTTTCAGACGCCAAAAGTGTTTGCAGTACGCAAAAAAAATACTTTGCATTTAAAAGTTATACGCCAACATCAACCCTGCATAGGGTCTTTCCGCAAAGGAATTCTGAAAGTGGCATCGTTCTGTAGCAGAATACGCGATTGCCACGCAGAATGCCTCGATCAGATTCCTGCTGGTGTTATAAGATATATTTTTGCATTGATTAGATACTCCCGTTGTCGGTTTTTCTTAACGCTCTCACAGATAAGTTACCAATGTCTATTCTCGTGGTTCATCGGTATATGTAGACTATAAGACACTTGTGGCTCATACCGGGATATCGCGTCTCTCATAATCATATGGTGGTTTTGGGACGTTAAACCCCACAAATCAATCATACCGGGATACCACAGCCCGTGATATGCGGGTATGGGCCAAACGTGTCTAGATGAAAGGGTTTGGCGGCGTAAGCGATGGGATTTTCACATTATTACAGCGAAAGCTGTTATGAGATCACAACTTGGGTCTCGCGCAGCGCCGCCGGTGTCTGTAACCATATCACAAATTTAGAAAAAAAAGTGCCGCCATATCCACGAAGTGAATGATGATGAGTGGGCGAAGCTCTGGAGGAAAACCTGGTAAACCATGAATCTTCCGTACATTTTGCCTACTCGATTTTATTACAATGCTCCCCCTAGCGTACGTCGCCGCACTAAATCGAATGATTGCCTTCCACCAATGACACGTGCCATATGTGACATCATTCCTATTTTATAACATCTCGCATGTTTCATCATCAACTACAAGTACCACCGTCTAGTTTATAACATCTTGCACTATTCATCATCAGCTACAAGTCCCGCCATCTAGTGAGCACTGAAAGAACTAAATGAGAGGTAGCTACATGCAGGAGACGGTGCCGCCATCTAGTGAACACTGCAAGAACTAAACGAGAGGAGGCAACATACGGAGACGGTACCGCCATCTAGTGGACACTGCAAGAACTAAACGAGAGGTGGCTACATACAGGTGACGCACAGCCCACGCCTTAAGGAGCTTCGCCCCTAAAAAAAATATGGTACCATGCATTGAATAACACAGTGAGAATCGAACCCAGGTCCGCTGGGTGCCAGCCCAGTAATATACCACTGAGCCACGCCACTTTTTTTTTCTTTATTGCCTTCTTGACTACAGGTCAAGCAAATCTGACAATCACTATCGCACGTGTTTCATGCGTGATAACGCATCGAACAAAGATATTACATCTTCAACACAGTCGGTAGCCTTATACACATCTCGCACTTTTATAAACAGCTTCCACGAAACACTCATTAACGGATAGAACATTTCACATCACAGTGTCTGTACGATAGCATACTACGCCAAACCGAATGAAGAACACAATACAGAATGGTTTTTCCTGTGCCCCTGTACCGTTTCAAGTGTGAAAAATCATATGGTCATGACGTACTAAAGCGAGTGAAAAACATGTTTATGCCACCCAATGTGAAAACCTTCTTTTTAAACTTCATACGGGAACCTTGCCAGTAAAAACGTGGCTTGAAGAGAGAGGGATGTATGTGCCATGGGGAAGCAGCTGTCACCTGTGCAACAAACCTGAGACCATTGAACATGTGTTTATTGATTTTAAGAGTGCTATTTTCTTTTGGGACATTTTACAGAGGACTTTAAAAAAGATTTACCTCTTACTCCATATGGAATTCGTTTTTTGCCTTGTGATAGTTCTGTGCAAAATTTGGATGTTATATTTTCACTGAGCCACGCCACTGAGCCACGGACATCAGGGCAAACTTGCCTTAGGCCGGCTCGATGTCGGGAAAGCAATCGCGTTAGTTTGTATGTTTGTATGTGCAAACTGAAATAAAGATTTTGATTTTTTTTGATTTTTTGATTTTAATACTACTTATAAAGCGTTTCAAAACAGCGAAATAGTAAGCAGTCTTCACACAATGATAATAGCGTAACAAGTGCGTCGTCCAATGCGCAACCTGTTAGAAAAGCTTGTTTTTTTTTGCAGCTATTAACGGTGGCGCATACCCACTCCAGGCCCCACCGCGGTGGTCTAGTGGCTAAGGTACTCGGCTGCTGAACCGCGGGTCACGGGATCGAATACCGGCTGCGGCGGCTGCATTTCCGATGGAGGCGGATACGTTGTAGGCCCTAGTGTTCAGATTTGGGTGCACGTTAAAGAACCCCAGGTGGTCAAAATTTCCGGAGCCCTCCACTGCTGCGTCTCTCATAATCATATGGTGGTTTTGGGACGTTAAACCCCACATATCAATCAACATATCAATCAATCAATACCCACTTAAGGCATTATCTCTCATAGTCGTGAGCCACTGTATGAGCCATTGGCACGAAATTCCTCGCAATAGTTTAGCCGATACCACGCTTCTCAGAACAATGACAAAAAATAGCATAGCGAATGGCGCCCTACTACCCTAAAATTTTTATTATTAATGCCGTAGTGGGTATCGAGCAAGTGTGCTTGCAGTACTTACCCAATGAGTGTTCAAAAAAAGCTCTGAAAGGCCGCTCTTCTAGCTATCGCTATGACTGTGCTGCGCCTTCCGCGCAGGCCTGGCGTTTTTTCATGTCTTGACGAGGCAGTCAGAACCGTAATAGTAAAAAGTGTGGCATTTTGGGCTAGTTGGTATGACAAGACGATAGTTAGAGCGCGAGAACAAAACGATGACAAGGAGACAAGAAAGACAGGAGCACTAACTTCCCACAGGTGGAAGTTAGCGCTTGTGTCCTTCTTGTTTCTTTGTGCTCGTTCTGTTCTCGCGATATAATTATTGTCACGTCATACTAAGTTTGGTCAACCCCTAGTTTCGTACCTGATCACGAAAGCCGCCACAGGTAGGCGGCTGGATAGATAGATAGATAGATAGATAGATAGATAGATAGATAGATAGATAGATAGATAGATAGATAGATAGATAGATAGATAGATAGATAGATAGATAGATAGATAGATAAATAGATAGATAGATAGATAGATAGATAGATAGATAGATAGATAGATAGATAGATAGATAGATAGATAGATAGATAGATAGATAGATACGCAAACAAATGCCTCGCAATTAAAAGGGGGAGGAAGTATGCCTGCGATGAGGAAAAAGGTACTCATGTGGGGGGGACAAGTCCTCTGTGGTGAAGCTAGGATCCCGGATCCCGTGACGAAGGCGTCATAGAATACCGAATAAACGTTACCTCCCTACGCATCCACAAGGAGACGAGGACCTTTTGATTGACAGTACTATCCGCCTGCCGCGACGGATAGTTGGTGGTGTCAGTCGGAAGATCCCCGTCTCCCTTGGGGATGCGCCGGCAGCCACGCCTCCTGGCTAATCCGCGAGATTTTCGTGTCGTGATCCGCCATTCTGGCTTCTCCCCCCAAGGATTTGTCCCCGTTCAAGTACCCACGAAGGGGCATTCACACGTAATGGAGGTGCCCGGGAATTTTGTTCATCAGGTGTTCTTTAACATGCACTGACATCGCGCAGTACTAGGGCCTCTGCCATTTCGCATCCATCAAAATGTGACCACCACTGCTGAGATCGAACCCATCTTCGCGACAGCCTCTGAGTACCGTGTTCGCTACACCACCGCGGCAGACTAAGAAATATATAGGCGTTCAAATCCAACAGTGTTACAAACGGTTCCGTACATTTACTTACGCTGGAAAGTTTCTGAACACTTTTGCCGATTGTCATTCATGTCGTTATCAAGTTATATGCCTCTTTCAGGAACGAAGCTTTTGATGTAAAGTGGGAACCATATTCTGCACGGCTGAGTCTGAGGGCTTCAGGTAACCTCCAGCTCACATTCTATTTGGGCACATCATTGGAGTATGGGAAAGCAAAGTCGTTGTTTCTCCTGGTGGGCAGGATCGTACGTCTTGGCTGGCTTTATACTTTCACCGGAACGATTCTGTTGTAGCTAACGGGTGCAGAAAGGTCGCTGCAATTGTTGCACACTGCAGTCTCCGTTTTTTAAAAGGGCGCGCTTTTCAGACACAGCGAAGTAACAACTAAGACGCTTATTCGCGTTCATCCGTACTTGTGAGTACGTTTCGTGCGTCATTTGTGCGTGAGAAACACGGGCTACGTTTCTATATGCTTGCCATTCTGTGCGTGACCTTACAATTTGTTGCTATCACGTTCATTGCTTCGCCTTCACGGCAAGGTTGTGAATTTTGTCTGTGTGTTACATATATTGGTCACTATATCGACCCATTCAAACAATATATCTTAAATCATTTAAAAAACTGCAATATCTCCAGCGCACCCTTTGATTAGCTCCTCAAGAAACAAAGCTGCTCACGTACAAAACACTAATTCGTCCAGTCCTACAATATGCATCTATTGTTTAAGTCCATTTCATAACAACAATATTGTTACGGAAAATGAAACTGGACGTGACTATTTGCCAGTGTATTTACACCAATAAAACCGGAGCGCAGCACACAGAGTGAGCAAACCAGTCATCTTTGTCGTCTTCTGTCCACTGAATGGTTTACCCTTCATGCGATAGCTACGTAGCATTACACCCCGGTTGTAAAAGCACCGCCTCGGTGCACTCTGTACGTGTTCTTCAGAGGGAGGGTGGTATAGTTTCAACCTACTGACGTGGACTACGTCACTGGGGTTGTTTGCAGACAGGTTAGTCCCAGAGACAAGAATGACCTGATAGGTAACATCCGTTACCCGTCGTATGATACGGTAAGGTCCCTTGTGCGGAGATAGCAACTTCTCTTACAATCCAACACGACGAGCTGGGCTCAAGAGAAGAACTAGAGAACCAAGTGAGAAGTCAATGTCGACATGCTTGCTGTCGTAGAGAGCCTTCTGGGTTGCTTCTGAAGCCAACAGCCTAGAGCGTGCAATCTGACTTGCGTGATCGGCACGAGCGATAGCATCACGTGCGTATTCGCTCGATGGAGGCGTAACAGTCGGTAGTAGGGTGTCTAGTGGTAAGGTCGGATGACGGCCATAGAGCATATAGAAAGGTAAAAAACCTGCTGTATCATGACGAGTTGAATTATAGGCGAACGTCCCGTGAGGTACACTTGATCCCAGTCATGTGGTCAGATGAGACATACATCGAGAGCATGTCCGTGAGGGTGCGATTTAGGCATTCGGTAAGGCCATTTGTTTGAGGGTGGTAGGAAGCGGTCAGTCTGTGTTACTTTGAGGAAAAGCTGCAAAAGGTCATCGAGTTACGCTGTGACAAAAAATGTGCGTCCACGATCGGTGAGCAATTGCCGAGGAGAGCCATGGTGTAGAATTACATCGTGGAGCAAAAAATCGGCAACGTGCTGGTGGGAAGTGCTCTAGTGATGGCCAACCTGGTCGAATGGTCTATAGCAACGGCGACCCACTTGTTCCTGGAGTTTGATTCAGGGAATGGTCCGAAGAGGTCTACACCAACACGGAAGAAAGGTTGGTTAGGGATGGAGATAGGGTGAAAGAGACCAGCAGTGGATGCGGCAGGCCGTTTCCGACGTTGGCATTTATCACAGGAGGCCACGTAGTGTCGAACAGACCGCACGAGACCACGCCAAAAGAAGCGGCGTTGGACGCGGTCGTACGTGCGAGATACGCCCAAGTGGCCGGTAGTTGGTTCGTCGTGAAGCTCATGCAAGACCGCTGAATGGAGATGGTTAGGCATGACTAGAAGTAGATCGAGCCATTTGGCTGGACGCTACGACAGTACAGCGTGCCATTTAGGAGAACGAACATGCGGAGTGACACGTAGTTAGGGTCAGATTCCAGGCGGGCAATGAGTGACCGCAAGGAAGGATCGCGACGCTGTTCGTCCCCGCTCTGACAAATAGCTAGACTAGGATATGACGCTGGGGCCACGCTCGCCGACTGATTAATCTGGTTGGTCAACAGGGTAGCGGGACAAGCAATCGGCGTCCAGATGGAGGCGTCCAGACTTGTAGGCAACTGAGCCGGAGTACTTCTGAAGACGCAACGCCCAACGACCAAGTCGTCTAGAAGGGTCCTTCAGTGAAGAAAGCCAACAGAGGGCGTGATGATCTGTGACGACAAGGAACGGGTGGTCATACAAGGACGAAATTTCGAAACCGCTAAGACAAGGGCAAGGTATTCTCGTTGTGTTATAGAGTAGTTACGCTCAGACTTTGAAAAAAGATGACTTGCATATGCAATTACACGATCAGCGTCGTGCTGAGTTTGGGCCAAAGCTGTGCCGATGCCATGACCGCTAGCGTATGTCCGCACTTCTGTAGGAGCATCTGGGTCGAAATGTGCAAGTATCGGTGGTGTCGTTAGAGCGGTGATTAGTCGAGAGAAAGCGTTAGCTTGAAGAGGACCCCAACAAAACGGGACGTTGTGTTTGAGAAGGCCTGTGAGTGGTCATGCGAGTGCCGCAAAGTCTTTTACGAACCGGCGAAAGTAAGAGCATAGGCCACGAAACTGCGAACATCATCGATAGAGCGCGGAACGGGAAAGTTTGTTACTGCGCGTACGTTTGCTGGGTCTGGTCGTACACCGAAAGCGTCAATAAGGTCACCCAACGCAGTAATTTAACGAAGACTAAAGTGGCACTTCGAGAAATTAAGCAGGAGGCCGGCATGTTGTAATGTTGATAGAATGGTCGAAAGGCGTTCAAGGTGTATGGCGAAGGTGGGTGAGAAGATTATCACGTCATCTAGGTAACACAAGCACGTCGCCCATATAAATCCTTGAAGCAGCGTGTCCATCATTCTCTAGAAGGTTGCTGCGGTGTTGCAGAGACCAAACGGCACGGCCTTGAATGGGTAAAGGCCGTCGGGGGTAACAAATGCAGCTTTCTCATGATCCATTTCGTCTACAGCAATCTGGCAGTAGCCAGATCGGAGGTCGAGAAATAAAAAAAAAAGTGGCGCCATGAATACAGTCAAGAGCATTGTTAATACGCGGAAGAGGATACACGTCTTTCTTGGTTATTTTGTTGAGGTGCCGACAATCAATACAGATACGCTAGGAGCCGTCTTTCTTGTTTACCAAGACCACTAGGGAGGCCTAATGGCTTGACGATGGTTCAATGATGTCTTGCGATAGCATGTTGTCCACTTCCCTCTGAATCACTGCTCGTTCTGATGCGGACACGCGGTAAGGCTGACGGTGGATGGACGCAGAGTCATCAGTGTTGATTCGGTGCTTGACAATTTTAGTCTGGCCCAAGGGACGATGACATGCATCAAAAATATCACCGTAGGAGGCCAAAACGTGGCAGAGAGCGTTGGCCTGATGAGGCGAAAGGTCTGGTGCAATCATATTTCGAAAAATAGCTTTAGCAGTACCGGGTAACCGTGAGACTTTGGCTTGGTCCGGAACAGTTACAGCGACAACGTTTATGTCATCACCCTCATATGACAGTGAGTTGAGCAAGCGACATCTGGTAGGGCAACAGTGTAGGAATGACGCCGAAATTCAGGAGCGGAAGAAACACACAGTTGTCCACTATGGTGGCGATGATATGCGGCACTGTAACACTGCGCGTCAATCATGCGTCTGTTATCGGTGTAACGACGTAGTCTCCGTCGGGAACTGGAGGGGGTCGATGATCGACAGACGTATGTCACAGCTCGAGGCAGCAAGCGAACAAAAGTAGTTGGACCTAAATGGCTAACGGGATTTTCACAGGCATCAGAGAGCAGGGAAAGATCAAGGCTGAGCGTGCCAGAAGAACAGTCAATTAAAGCCGAGTGCACCGAGAGGAAATCAAGGCCTAGTATAGGGTCATGGGGGCAATGATCTAGTATGGCAAAAAGGACTATGGCGTGACAACCAGCAATGTTGACACGAGCATTGCACATTCCAACGACTTCTACAGCGCCGCCTTTCGGCAACACTAATGGCTTGAGTCGTAGAGGGTGTCACGATCTTCAGCTAACGGCTGCGTAGATGTGCGCTCATAATAGATAGGTGGGCGCCTGCGTCAACCTGGGCAGTAACAGGAACATTGTCGACTTTTATTTCAATGAGACGGTGGTGTGGGCAGCGTCACTAGAGGGATTTCGGATGTCGTTCGTATGGCAGCTTCACCTCCATAAGCTGCGATATCTAATTTTCCTGCTGCGATCGTCCGAAGAAGCTCGGCGAGGAAAAGCTCCGAAGCGGTGGAGAGCAGAGTTGGCGGTGTAGCGGCGACGGGGAGTGGGAGTAGCGGTGACCGGAAGAGGGGGCGTCAGTGGGTAGAGACTCGTGAGGAGGCAGCTAGTAAAGTTGGACGGTTGTAGCGGCTGGACGTCCATAAGTGGTAGGGCGCATATAAGTAGGGTAGCTCTGACGTAGTGGGTTGGACCAGCGGCGACGTAAATAACGAGACATATATCCAGGTTGATGACAAGAAAGCAGATTGGCTTGTCGTCAGGGTTCGCCATTGCGTAGGGTTCCGGGGAAATGAATGGAAGGAGATCGGTGAGCGTGACCTGAGGTGTATGGGGTACTTCGAGTGAGTCGCGGGCCACGCTGACGGAAGACCAAGATTAGCGAACTCCTTCTGCCTTACCACAGCTTGAATTAAGGCTACCTTTCGCGCAGTTATCTGTCGTGCAGCGGTGTTCCTAAAAAGGTCACGGATCTTCTCCTTGAAAGTGTCCCAGCTGGTAATGTCAGCTCATGTGTCTCGAACACACCCGTGGAGGGCCATCAAGGTAAAAAAGCACGTCGGCAAGCATGAGGGTCGGGTCCCACCTAACGCTGGCGCTGATCCATTCATACACGTTGAGCCACTTGTCAACGTCAAGGCCATCCTGTCCGGAAAATACACCATGATCACGAGCAGGAGGTAGGACAACGTAGGTAGGAGTCTCAGAAGAGGCGGGTGGGGAAGACGATGTGCCTTGAACCTGTGACATGGTAGTACCCGTGATGATGCGTCCGTGGCGGAGCTTCGTGATGGGTACAGGGAAATACTAGCTCGTCCACCACAAGTATGTTACGCAAAATGAGACGGGACGTGACTATTTGCCAGTGTACTTACACCGATAAAATCGGAGCGCAGCACACAGAGCGAGCAAACCAGTCCTCTTCGTCGCCTTCTGTCCCAAGAATCGTTTACCCTTCACGCGATAGCTACGTAGCAATATTAACAGGATTTTGTCCAGTAAAAAGCTATTTGTTTTATTTAACACCGCTAGGCACTTTTCGCCCTCTTGCGAACTTTCTAATTTAAATTTGACCACTATGGAAACACGTTGCCGCAAAGAAAGCTTAAAGTCCATGCATGCCTTGATTGAGTCCCCGCGTTTTTCCCACTTAAACCAGTACTTGCAGTTTGCTCAATATTTCTGCACTCGTACCTCGCTTAATCTAGAACTGATTTGTTCAAATATAGTTACTTTCCTGCAAAAATTGAGCGTTGGAATGCTTTGCGTGTGTTTGTTCGTGCATTGCCGATAACCAATTTTTTGTTCGCGCTTGACATGTGATGTTATCGACACTCCTGTCATAGCCCACGATGGGCTGCAGTATATATAAATAAAAATATTTACCTACTTACAAGCTTTATCCGAGAATGTCTTTAAGCATTTAAAATCTTCGGTTCCTATTGCAGATTATTTAAGAAATAACTTGTATGTGAAGCCGGAGTACGTGATACGGACATACGACGATCACTCTTTACTTCTATCTGAGCTGAAAGGTAGGATTAAGAAAACATTTTGTTGGGAAAGTTTGTGTAAGTTCAAAGTTGATAGTAAGATGCGAAAAAAAAAACACAATCACAACAAAGGACATGAGACATGAGTGCCACTAACAACTGATTGATCTGCAGGAATACACTGTAACAGATTGTAACGATGCTGAGGCAGACAGGCTAATAAAAACAAGCGTCTTTATTAGGGAGAACTTGTGCCCACGAGTCTAATGACTATGGTCGTCGAAGTCCTAGTAGTCAAGTTGCACAGATCCAACTGTCTTCCTCTTCCTCGTAGCCCGAGCGCGTGGCGCTTGCCAGCCGGGTCTTGCCTGGTGCTCGTGCGACGATGGTTGCGGCGGGCTACTTGAACGTGGCCAACTCGTCGCGGCAATATGAATCCTGCCATTCAAAGCTAATAAAACGGGGTATGGAGCCCCATTGTCACTATATTTGGGTAATGCAGTGACTAACTCGGCTATGCGTTCCTTTAAAGAGAAAAGTTTGCAAAGAACCTTGTGGCCTGTAACAACATCGCAAGGACAACTGTATGGGTTCTGCGGGTAGTTTATGATCAGCTTGCACACAATAGCAAGATTAACCACTTATGTGGCGCTGTATTGAAATCGCTTGAGGTCGTCATGGAGCTGACACCAGAGTAGCGCTGAGGTCGATACCCTTGTCGGCTGAGTCTACTTGGATAGGTGTATTAAGGTTGAGGTGGCGTAGTGCCGAAGACACCGCCAGGTGACGCCGGAATACGATAAACACAGCTTCACATCCTCTATTGATGACATCCCGACCACGCTCGCTCGAAGCTCATGAACGAAGAATAGTGTGATGCCAGCCATGTTGTCTATAGCGCTTGTCAGTGTGAAATTGGAAGCTGATCGAAGTTCGAAGCTCCCTTATGCTGGCGTTCCTGGCAGCCTAGCTTTCTTTCAAGCCATGCTTGAGAGGCTACTGAATGGAACGATTATAGTTGTTTTTTTCAGTTATAAGAACATATTTGCTGTGGACGCTGCGTACTTTACGTAACTGACCACATTCATGGTAATTATTCCATACACTCTGCAGGCATTTTCTTAATTTTTTAAGGAATGTATTGAAATTCTACGCACCTAAATAGAGCACTAAAAGTATACGACTCTTTCCTGTCACGTCAGTATTTTCCCACATTGCACCTGTTCCTCACAGGTGCTTGCCGATTAATGTCGAAGTCTGCCTTATCCCTCGATATACATTCGTCTAGATAACATCCTGTTTTTTATATGTTTTTTGTTCACAATGTTGATGTCTGTCTGAAGCGCAACAGGTTAGATATGAAGCAAAAACTTACGTGTGAACATTTTTCAATAATTCATGTCGACCTCTGCAAGTCACGGATGTGTGGTGGAATTGTGTGCTGACATTAACTGTTTTTTTATATTACGCAGAAGGTACCGTCGAAATGCTCACTCTGGGTGACAAAAAAAGACCGTTTCGAGAGAATCCCAGAAATGGTGAACAAAACATTTACCACGATCTGCCCGGATCCCGTGTTCGTTCCATTTAACCCGAAATGTTTTTAGAGAGGGAAATAAAATTACCTTCTTCAATTTATGCAATTCACTGAATCTTTTTTTGTGTCACACTTTTGTCGAGCATGTGCTCTGTGCAACTTGAAAAGAAAACTGCCACATCGATCTCTGAACGTGCTTCCACACAGCGACTGCTACGCACAGGTCTCCACAACACCTGGGTTGAGTGCGCGAAAGTACACAAAGTAAATCTACTCGAACGACCTCGACTTGCTGAAACAGGGCAGGCGACTCTACGAAGATTGGACTATTCTGGAGCAATAAAACAATGTGGTCAAAAGACGGTTGTACCACAACGACTAGACAGTACATCTCAGCTGACGCGCCTCCCCGAAATATGCATAATACCTACCATCTAAAAAATCCAGATTAAAGAAGCACTGACAAGACAACGGCCGCATCAGGACACAAGATGCACTCATGCAGCGAAACATCCAGGAATACCAGCCCACGCAGTCTGCGATAGGTTGACAGCGAAGGCAAAAAGAGAACGTCAGTAAGCACACTAACTGCAGAAATCGATACGGCAGTAGAATGGCGATAGCCGTATGCATATAGCCGTCCCAGCCTGTGCTGATACAGCGGTACTATGACCGGTTCCCAAGCAGCTTGTGGAAATTTTCAGAAAGCCAATAACTTTCAAGCAAGCGTTTGCAATTCTCGTCGCTGCAGCGAAGAACTTATCCGAAACGTACATCGTCTGTACTCCGGGTCACGAGTCCCTGACGGCAAACGAGACAGCCAACGCTTTCACCCGAGCTCATGTTCACCGGACCTTCCCATAGGCACTCATTAACGAGGAAAGAAGACGTGCCTAAAAGTACAATGAAATACCGCAGCGACTACAGGCTAAGTTAGAAGCCTTTATCCGCCAGCTCACCCCAGCCTGACCAGGGAAGTGGCGTAGCGTAACCCTCGAGAAGCTCCAAACCGACACCTAGGTTCACAGTACGATACTTCACCGCATCTCACCAACATACTTGTACTTCTGCAAGTACTGAGATGTGTCTATTCTCTGTGATATGAGGATAGAGACAATACCATGGAACCACCACACTAACCTACGATCAGTGGGATGCCAAGTTATCAGACCCAGGACCTAAAAATCAGCGAAGCCTAGTTCAACGGGCACAGGAGATGGCGAAGGACTGCGGCTACCTGGAATAAGTAGGCCGCCCACCTTGGGCGCACAATGGTTTGGCTCAAAGTAAAGTTATCCTCGCTTTATTATTAGTTATTTCTTATTAGTTGCTCAAGATGAAAGTTTATTTCTCTTTATTATCACTTGTTCTTTATTACTTTATTCTCTCAACTCAACTGAAGGTAACCTAACACGGCACCATACAGTGGTCGAGAAGTTCCACATGGTTGATATGGATTGTGCATGTCTGAACTGGTCCCTACTGCAATTACATTTTCTTTCTCAAAAAATAAATGATGACTGTTCACCGATTAATGACGGAGAAAAAAAAGAAGACAAAGATGGTGGCCTGCGCAAGAAAGCCCCGGCCTACTGCTCTGGAGATAACAACTGACGAGTATATATGACGGTTGGAAAGAACTGACGGACTGACATATGTATCATTGGGCGTGGTTGTAAAACAAGCATTCCTGCGATAAAGTTAGCCCAATTTATACCTGTTGGTCACTCCCGCAAACAGCGCGTTAAGTGCAGTTTACTTGCGCTGTGACGCTAGAAATGAAGACTCAAAATCTCTCAAGACACGCATAATAGATAAGGCCCAGAATGTGCAACGAGGACCTCGTTCACTTGAAGCGCAATCACTGATTTGAAAGTGGTCGGACAGACCCCGGAGAAATCCACTTTCAGTAACCAACACTTGCGAGCACAAATTTAAAAATTTCGATTTCTTTCAGAATTTTATTAATAAAAGTTGAGTGAAATTACAAGCGCGTGGTATACAGGAGGAAGTCCATAGTCAAGAGACTGCATCGGGACCTCCTGTACAAATAAAATCAAGCAAAAAGCACATCATAGTAGCAACAGTAGCGAGATCAGTCATTTAAGAAACATAACATTCATAGAAAATAATATATGTGATTACATAAAGTATTCTCTTTTGACATATCGCAGCAAAAACGAAAATGACAAGAGGAAAAGGAAAAAAACGAGTAATACAACAGTGAGATGATCTATACCCAAAACACACTGAACACCAAAGCACATGTAACCTAAATGAAAGATACAGTTGTTCTTCTTAAAATTATGTAATGGTCTTGAGGTTTTCATGATAACGGGAAGTGTGTTCCAAGTGAAATAAAAGTGAAAGCTACAGCTTGCTTCCCGTAGTTAGTCCAAATTTCGGGTAAAAGAAAACTGTTGTTCATCGTGAACAGAGTAGTTCTATAGATCAGGAGATTAGATGATGTAAAATGGCTGGCGGAAATCCCTTATTTATAAGTTTGTAGAAAAAGATACCTAGGTTGTTGTTAGTAAGTTCTGTTATGGAGAGAATGTTATTCTCGCGTAATAGTGCAGTGGGAGACGTGGGCTGCAAATAATTATTCCCATAGCATGGTTTTGGACAATCTGGAGGGATGCTATATGAGTATTGTATGCGTTTCCCCAGCATGTTATACCATACGTGAAAAAGAATGGATGAAGGAGTAATAGAGAGACAGCAATGTGGTGCGTGAGAAGTAGGGGCGCGTTTTAATGAGTACGCGTATACCATGCATAGGCAATTTTATTTTTGATGTTAGCAATATGACTCTCATATTTTAGGTTACTATCCAGAAGAATCCCTAGAAAAGAGGAACTTGGGCTATCAGAGAGGCAGTGGGGACCAAAACTGATATGTGGTAATGATGATACGTTACGCTGATGTGAACTGAATACCACAAATTTGGTTTTAGTAGCATTGATAGGCAACATGTGGTATTACAGCACTTTAAAATATTATCTCAATCATCATGAAAGTATTAACGAGAGATGAGATATCTTCATAAGAGGCGAATATAGTCGTATTGTCGGCGTACAGAATACACAGGGATGAAAAAAGACAATTTAGGTAAATCGTTAATATAAATAAAAAAACAAAAGTGGCCCAGTATAGAGCGTTGGGGAACACCGATGTTAGTAGTTCGCTGTCGAGAATAAATGCCTGATATAGAAACAACTTGAACTCTGTTATATAAGTAGCTTTTTATTAGTGAAAGAGCGGGACTACATACGCCAGTTTACTCGAGTTTAGGGAACAGATTAATATGATATATACTGTCAAAGGCTTTAGTTGGATTGATGAATACTGAGACAACTAAAAACCCTCGTCGATTAACGTTTTTAGCTGATCAGTAATATGAATAAGTGCCATGTCAGTTGCACGTCCATGGCGGAACCCAAACTGACAAGAAGAGAGGACGTTAAACTTAGAGAGGTATTTTGTTAACCGTGTTTCAATTAGTTTCTCAATTACTTTTCCAAAGAACGGCAATAGACAAATGGGTCGGTAGTTATGTAATAAAGATCTGTCGCCTTTTTTTAGTACAGGTATCACTTTGCCACGCTTACGTTCACAAGGAAATATGCCCTTTTTAAATAATAAATAACAATAAATGAAAATATATCAGCAATTAGGTGCGCAATAGATTTAATGTTAGCGGAATGGATCTCATCTATTCAAGCACTTGTCAACTTTAAATTGCGTATTACAGAAATGATTTCGTCGGTGTAGTAGAAAATAAGAAGAATAAGGGGGGTAAACGACTCATGTTGATTTCTGAAGGAGAATCTGAATAACCTGGGAAAAAGAAACTACTGAAATCTCAGCTGTATCTGAAGGACAATCGTGTTCTATTCCGTCCATTAAAGTTTGACGTACCTCGTCTTGCCGCGTGTTTCCATTTAAGAAGGAATTGACAATCTCAATTTCTTTTCGCGTCGTTAGCCGCCTGGGAGATTCTTTTTTCAAAATAACACTTTTTTGCCGCTTTAGGTTTGCAGTTAGGAGTATTACACAGGTTCCTGAAACGGGAACGTAATTTCTTGTTAAATGATTGTTTTTTTAGTTTTCCTATATAACTTATCTTTTTTGCGCATTTCGGCTAATAGCTGTTGCGAGATCCACGGATTGTGAGAAAAAGCAACAATTTTTATATTTCTTTTTGGAAGTGAACTTTCTTAATTGCGATGTAATTAGTGAAATAAATGTTAAAAACGCTTTCTGTGGATCGTTCATTGACTTAATTTCAGACTATTTAGTGTTAGCAACGGCCGTTATGAAGCCATCTTTATCTAGGATATTGTGTGAGAAGAGGTGCAGGGGAGTACATTAGTTTGGAGCGTGAGATGATGGGGTAATGATCACTATTGTCTACGTGCAAAACTTTCGCCTCTGCAGGGTTGACCAAGCAGGTTAGAGAGAGCAAGATCAATAAGCGTTCCTGAGCCGGTAAAATCTTCACGTGTCGGAACGTCAATTAAACAGTCGTATCCATAACCGCGAAACAAACTGGTATAGTTATACAGAAAGGTGATGCTTCATCAAATAAGTTGATGTAGATGGTTACCCATTATGACAACATTTTGTTTTCTATTGAAGTAGTACGCAAATGGTCCACAGGTACAGAAATCAATAATGATGATGAAGGAGAGCGTCGATTCAGAATAAATATGAAGTTCTTGTTATCTCTAGTTAAAAAGCAGTTATCAGTCTCAACCAACGGATTCACAATTGGCAACAGTTATGCTAGGTTATGTCTTCATCGATAAGCATACCAGAAGAAACATATATAGCTGCACCACCATGATTGTTCGCTTCTCTATTGCAGTATTCAGATTTATAATTATGAAAGCAATGCCAAATTTCGTCATCGTCAGACAACCAAGTTTTCAGTTATGGCGATCAACGATAATGAAGTATATATATATATATATATATATATATATATATATATATATATATATATATATATATATATATATATATATATATA